TCAGAATACACAATACTTATATTCTGAAAGGATAAAGCTTATATCAAAAGGAGAGGAAAATTTAATTTAGGAGGAGAAGTGAGGAAAGGAGGACGAGTACGATGAAAGGCTGGGTTAAACCCATTGCCTTTATATAACATAGTTCTTATGACAAAACAAAATATACGGTATGCTTACGGTCATTTACAGTGCATATACGGCCATATACGATGATCTTATTTAAGCCGTAAACACGCCGTATATGGTAATACGGTCGTCAAACACCGGCCTGGTTTACGGTAAAATAAGGTGTGTAAACGGTCCGCATTTAACCGTTTACGGCCGTAACAATAACCGTAACAAACCACCTGGTTAGCTCAGAATGCGGTTTATTTTTATTAGTTATTATAAAATTACAGTTGTTTCATGTGGACTACATTCCTTAGTTTCTCGAAGTTGATTACACCATGTTCTCGAAGAAAAATCCGAGTAAAACATGATGTAATTAGAATTGAGAAAAGAATTCCAAACAATTGCTCCTGGCTCAAGCGTTTACTTATGCGCCAATTCAAGCGTCTTAATGAACCAGAATCCCATGTTTAAAGAAAAGTAATTAATAAAATCATTATCTTTCGGGGTCAGCGCCGTTTTCACGGATATGCGCGCGTTTATTGAAAGCGCGTCAAAGAAGCACTTTTTTGGGCTTATTCTACGCGCTGGAGCATGCTGACTCCAGTTTTGATATTTGCGGCTCAAGAAATAGTCTAATTTCGCTAAATTTTCCTATATATGATACGCTAGCTATTATGCTGTGTAGCTATTGGCGCGTAATGGCGCCAATCGAAGCGTTGCTATGAGCCATAATAATAAGGCAAAAATCGCATCGATTATGTCGACACCAGAGGAAAGTTAAAATCAAATTATAAAATTTATGCTGTCGGCATATTTGTTTAATTTTATGGATAGAGCTAAATTTTCTCGGCGTTCTGTTCACCGCGGCAAAAGTGACCAGTTTTCTAATGGATTGTGGGACATAACGTAGTTGGTAGCTGCGTCCACTTCTTCTTGTGATTCTCCAATATAATAAACCGTCTCGTTTTACCATAAATCTCCTTTCTCTATCATTAATATTTGCAATAATATCTTGTGTAACTGGATCGTTTTGCTGATGCTCCTTCAATGTTGTATCATCAAATGATAACACTTTTTGTTGTTGTTGTGGAGTTGTTGACTGTTGCTGTTTCATACCATCATTGCTGTTTTTCTTCTGATCATCATCATCACATGATTTAATATTTTGGTTTGCATTGATCTTGTGGTTACAGCTGGTATCATTGGTTGTTGTATTGTTGTTGTTTTAACCACATCATTAATCTTGTCTTGCTCATCCATTATACAACCAGATGGATATCTTGATAAAAAATCAGCCACGACATTCTTGTTACCATTAATATGTTTAATCTTAAAATCAAAATCTTGTAATTTCATAGCCCACCGGTCAATTCTTGCATTCTTGTATGGTTTAGTTGATATTGACGTTAAATTTTGATGATCGGTTTCAACAACAAATGATTGGCCGTATAAATGCGATCGAAATTTTTCTGATATACACCACCAAATGGCCAAACATTCTTTTCGTTTATTGGATATTTTCGTTCGTTGTTGTTAATGTTCTTGATACGTAGGCTACTGGTTTATACCCTTCAACTGTCCACTGCAATAATACACCACCAATACCATAATCACTTGCATCCGTTTGCACCTTAAATTGTGATTTTCTGTCCGGTAAATGTAGTACGGGAGCTGTAACTAAACATTGTTTTAATTGGTCAAATGCGTTTTGTTCTTGTTCACTCCATATAAAATTCTTCTGTGCATCTTTTAATCCAAATTTCTTCAATGATGATGATATTCCGGCAAAATTTTTGATAAACCTTCGGAAAAAATTAGCTGTTTGTAAAAACGCATAAGCTGATTTAGCTGTTGTTGGTTTTGGAAAATTTTTAATGGCTTGTACATGGCCGTCACTTGGTTGTATACCACGTTCATGTATCTTGTGCCCCAAATATTCAATCTGTTGTTTAAAAAATTCACATTTATCAACATTCAATTTAAAATTGGCGCTGGATAACACACGGCATACTTTATTGACGTCTTCCAGATGTTGTTCGAATGTTGGTGAAAACACAATAACATCATCCAAATAGACGAGACAACAGTCCCACCTAAGATGACCTAATGTATCATTCATAATTCTTTGATAGGTTGGGGGTGAATTCATTAAGCCTTGGGGTAAGCGATTAAATTCGAATAAACCATCCTGTGTTGAAAATGCCGTCTTCTTTTTGTCACTTTCACTAATTGGCACCTGAAAATAACCGGATTTCATATCTAGTTTCGAATACCATTTAGATCCAGCCATTTGTTCCATAATATCATCCATTCGCGGTAATGGATACACGTCCTTTTGTGTAATTAAATTAATTTTCCTATAATCAACACAAAATCGTGGTGAACCATCTTTCTTCTTCACTATTACTACAGGTGAAGACCATGGGCTGTTTGGTGGCCGAATAATACCATCTTTCAATAATTTGTTCACTTCTTCTTGTTGTACTTCTCTCATGATATTTGATACACGACGTGGATGACTGTATATTGGAAAATGATTACCAGTGTTGATTGTGTGCCGAACTGTCGTCTTAATAGCTGATAATTCTGTTGTATCAAACAAATTTTGATACTTGTTTAATGTAAATCTTGCTTGTAGTTGTTGTTGCTCATCCAGATGATTTATTTTATTAAATATAAGTTCTTGTATTGGCGTTAATTCTGATTTTGTACCATGATCCATATCTTTAAGGTGTGCCATCAGTAAATTTCTTGACTGAAATTGCGTCTTACACGTACGACACATTATCTGGATCTGTGTTTGTTTGGTGAAGCAGATTCTTTTTATCTTGAATTAATGCCATAATTGGATTCAACCGGTGGTGTGCGTATAACACCAATGACGGTATTTCTGAAAATCATTTTTGGATTATCCGTTGGATTTGTGATTGATATAATTGAATGATAATCATCGATCTTGACCACTGCGTTAGGCATCATAATCCAACGTAATTGTTGTAATTGGTGATCGGGACTGAATATCATTGTATCACGTTGTCTGACTGGTACTGTTATTTCAGTCAATTGTTCTGTATGGGGTTGTATAATTACTGTATTAATTAATCGAACAGGATTAATTTCCTCATCTAGACATGGTTCAAATTTAATTTCTGATTTTTGCCACCAATTATTTCTGTTTTCACCAATTTTAACTGTTTTTGATGAGAAACATACATTAACATCATACTTGGAACACCAGTCAGTTCCAAGTATTAAATCTGTGCATATTGTTGTTGATATATCGGCCATGATCGTTGTTCTCAAATTATTTCTCTTCACCTTTAGTTCCACATTACCATTTGTGACTTATTCACTGTTATTGGCTGTACGATATGATTTAACTTTATAACGATTTTGGATCTTTTTATGATGTAGTTTGCGTAATAAATTTTCACTAATTATTGTTGTTGATGATCCTGTATCTACCAATGCTTTCACCCACCTTCCATTCACATTGACTTTAATAATTGATAATGATGATTTTGGTGATGGGTTTTGATATTCGGAGATCATACCATCTTCTGACCTCCTCTTCTGTTTAAATGACAGTGTCGTTGTATATGACCAGGTTGGACACAACCATAACATGTAGGGACAACTTGTTGTCGTTGATATTGTTGTACTGAATAATATTGTTGACTATTACGATTCCATGGTCTTCTTTGGTGATCATCTGAACGGGGATTCATTAATAATGTTGAATCCAAACGGGGTTGTTGGTTATTATTATTTTGAAAATAAACTGGTGGTTTCAAATTTACATTTTGTCGTGTGATTGTTGTACAATGGTGTCGTTGACGTATGGCATTAACTGATGGTTGTATATATTGGTCTTCACTCGGATAACTGATATTTGTTGATTGTTGCTGGTTGTGACTTGATAACCATTGCATCTCTTGTTCTGTACCTGTAGTGTGGACAGAAACAAAGCTGGTGTTGTTATTGTTGATAATTTACCATATAATTGTTGATGATATAATGGTAACAGTCCTTTAATTAAGGCTGATACTAACATATTATCTGGTATACTGGGTGATGCCATATTGGCCAAGTTTATCTTTTCAATATAGTAACTCGTAACTGATTCATTGTCCTGCTGTTGTCGTGCTTCATAATCATTAATTCTGATAAATGATAATTTTGGTGTGAGAGCTGATGGATATTTGGCTATCATCGCTTGTTTAAAATCAGCCCATGACGCTTTATTAGCCTTATTCTCTTCATACCATGTTAATGCATCATCTTCTAGACGTAATGATATCTTCTTACGTTTATCAGGATCACTAATACCATCAAAACATGAAAATCTTGATTCAACCATTTCTAACCATTTAATAGCATTATCATTTTGTCCACCTTTAAATTTGACATCAATTTCAGCTAAAGCACGCTCCATTGTTGTATAATCTTGTTGTATTAGTATTTTAACTTTTGGTCTGTTTCGTTGTGGTAAAGGTTGTTGTCCGGGTTGTTGTCCTGTTGTTTGTGTGTGCGATCTCAAGTGCATACACACACAGATACACCAGTGTCAAATATTGATTTGTACCCAGATACCGGTAACGAACAGAATTTCCACTGCTGTAGCAAAAACCTCACGTCCTTTCCCACAAGAACACCAGCTATGATTAATAGCTAGATTGAGCCGGATAAATACCACTTGTTAATCTGTATTTCTGCCTAACTCTTATACTAATAAACCACCTAAATTATTCTAAACGCTAATTGTTCTTCAATTGGCTTGATAGTAAGGGCCAAACTGACCCGGGTCAGGCACCAGTTTTTAGGTAGCTGGTGATATTAAACTATCTTGTGGTCTTGTATGTGCACAGCAATATGCTTTTAAATAATATGTTTATTTTGACAATACCATTTGATACAGAGTTGCTAACTCTCATACAAAAGACCACTCTTA